CCACCCCCGTCCCTTTGCTATGACTTGGATGTGATTGGTGGGTTCCCCAAGGGTTCCAACGTGGCAATATTCAGAGGTGGTGGGAACTTTGAGAGGTGGGGCTTAGTGCATAGGTAATGAGGTGACTGGGGGCACTGGGCTGGGGAAGGATTAATGCAGTTTCCGAAGGTTGTTATGAAAGAGCAAGACCACCCCTTCCCACTCTCCAACTTCCTGTTTTGCCCAGAGATCGCTCACACATGTGCTCCCACCGTGACACCAACCACCAGGATGCCATATAACCAGGGCAGACCTCAACCAAGACAAAATGGATTTGCCACCTCTCTTGGACTGTGAGCCTTCCAAACTATAAGCTAAATAAACCTCTTTTCTTGATAAAGTACGTGCCCTGGAATTTTGCTATAGCAATGGAAGGCAGATGAATACAGCCTTCAGCTTCCTTGTTCAATGCTGCTACCTACCACTGCAATGGACAGCTGCTTCTTTGTGCTTCTGTGTCCTCTGCCAAGGAGACTCTGGAGTGCACTTCCCAGCAGAGGCCTGGCTCGTGTGAATGCCCAAGATATGCTGGTTGAATCAGTACGTAGGGTAGTGGCCAGATTGCAGCCATTGTGCTGCAGATGGATGGGTAGAGAGGACAGGGGCTCTTTGCATAATGTAGGCAGCATGGAAAGGCACAGCTCGGGCCCTTTCTCCGGCTCTCGCCCCAGGCTAGTGGTCTAGGTTTGTGTGAGGGTGGGAGCGGGTGCTTGCCTGCCTGTCACTCATCTCAGGGAACTCAAGCACTGCTGGCCAGACACCCCTGCATTTCTGATTCAAGAACCTGGGTGGCACCACCAGTCTCAGCATCCTCGTGCAAACTTACTCAGAATGATCAGTGTTCCTCTGGAGCCTGGAAAGCGGTTTTCCCAGGGAAGCCACTATACTAATTAGAGTGACGCGCCTGGTAGGCTTTGGGGCCCACAGCAGCTCTCTGAGCTGTTAAACAAAGCTCTCGGTGGAGCAAGGTGAAGGGTCCTGGGAACGGAGAGGTGGCAGCGGGAGAGGCTGCGGCTTGGAGCCTGCCCTGTGTGTCGCTGTGGTGTGGCCACCGCCCTGGGCCCTGTGAGGCACATAGCTGCTCATGGGGGACATCTGCCCATGCAGGCTGACCCACCCCACATGCACAGCTGACCCTTCCCTGCCTTCAGTGGGTGGGGCTACACCTGTGACCCCTGCCATCCCAAGAGGACTAGGGAAACATCATCGGCCACGTCTGGATGGCCCTCAGTCTTTTACCCACCAGGTGTGCCTGGTAGAGACCAGGTTGGTACGTACGGGTTGGCATGTGGGTGGCACCTCACTCCTATGTGTAGAAGAACCACACTGTACTAGGGAGGCTGAGCACGAGGACCGCAAGTTCAAAGCCAGCCTCGGCCACTTAGTGAGGCCCTGAGCAACTTAGTGTGACCCTGTCTGAAACTGAAAAATGAAAAGGACTGGGGATGTAGCTCAGGGGTTAAGCTCCCCTGGGTTCAATCCCTGACTTAAAAAAAAAAAAAAGAAGAAGAAGAAGAAGAAGAAAAACCACACTGCCCACATGATGCAGTGGAAAAAACCCAGTGCTGAGGAGTTTTTGATGCATGGAGGTCAAGTTCACACTCGAGGAGTTTTCTACTGTGAAGGAGACTTCCCTGTGCCCAGAGCTCGGCAGACAGCTGGAAAGAGGCACACGGAGGAGAGACAGGGCTGGGCCACTTGCAGGAGACGGTAATCATTTGAAGCGGCTGCATTCTGAGGTGCTGGCTTCCCACGTTCATCATTCTTTGAGAGGGACACAGAAAAGGCAAACTCTTCCTTCTCCTCGGGAGCACACAGGGGCAGGAGAGAGAGCCACTTCACAGTAACTGACCTTGCCGGGCTCTGGACAGGGATGTAAGGGATGTACGGGGACTTTCTTCAAGAGCCCCCTTCCCACCTGCTGCAGAGAGAGCACTCTGCAGCCTTAGAGCTCTGACCACAGTTGTTTCCACGTCCCTGGGTCAGTGGAGACGGAAGTCCCCCTTCAGTTCTCACCAACCACATTGGTCACT